TTATAATTTATCTCAACTCTAAGGTATTAGAGCACAGAGGTTCAGAGAGTAGACAGGGGAGATAATTCACCAGGGTTCAAATCCTATCCAGCTACCCCCAGGCTGTGTGGCTCAGACAAGTCACTTAGATTCTCTGTGTGCTAGTATCCTCATGTGACAAAGGGAAATGATAATTATAGTGTCACAGTAAGTATTAAGGTTTTAATACATATCACCATTTACTGGTGTATAGTAAGCATGCAGAAAGGGTTAGCTGCCAACATCATCATTATTAAGGATTAACTCATCCTTCAAGGTATCACTATGTATCTTAAAGATCTCTCTATACATATTCATTTTTCCTACCAATAAACTACAACCTCATTGAAAATAATAAACTGATAAGTAATAAAGTTCCCCCACTCCCTGTAGGAACATACGGCAACAGTAGGGTTGGAATTTAAAACCTCATAGGACCAATTACTTGTGATTTTAATTTAGTTTAAATTTTTACCCTAGTGAAAGACAAATATGTACCTTACTGGAAGATAACCCATTAAAAGACAAACCTGCAAGTTATTTAACTGATATTTTATTGAAGAAAATCGCCAGAGAGCTGCACCTTACAATTCTGTAATATACAGAGTCTAGAAAGTATTGTAGAAATACCATTTGTATAAATCTGATAGGAAAAAAATAGAAATAGGGAAGAAACAGAATTAGAGGAAACTATGTATAATTTTGGGTATAAGTGATAAATCCTTCTGATATTTCTTTTGGTTGGCTGCTTGGCTGGTACCATTCTGCATCAACACTATTTGATAAGCCTGTTGACCTTGGTGGCTTGATGACAATGGAGAAAGTACTATTTGGGCTCTAAAAACACACAAGTTGCTGCTCTCCTTGGAGAGCCACATTTGATCTCCCACTTCTTCATACTGAAATGCCATGTGTCACCAGAAAAGACTCTGGGATAAACTGTCTAAGACTGTCCATCCTCTCACAAGGCACAGGTAGGAGAGCAAATAATATGTAATAAAATAGCTTTCCTGGTAATGGGGAAACCAAACTGACATCGGAATCGGGGTGGAGCTGTTTTGATACCACAAGCTCAGCTCAAAGCCCAGTGCCCTCTAGACTTAGTTAGATCACCCCATCCCCTGGCACCCCTCATGGAGTAGTGGACCAAGACCCAAATATTCTTCCATATGCTCCTTTTTTTTTTTTTTTTTTTAGAACAACAAGCCATCTTTCATTACGTTGATAAGATAATATACTGTGAAAAGTCCCAGGAAAGGTATGTCTGGACACATGTCTTAAGAACATGAGATACAATACTCTAGCTCTGAAATGACTAAAGAATTCCAAGTTTTAACTTTAAATGACATAATTCTGTATTTAAACAAATAGTTTTCTACCAAAATATCAGAAATTTTCAAAAGCCTGAAAAACACTAAGTAGTTCAATTACTTTTCAAATATTACATATTTTTTTCCTTTAGTATAATAAAATTAGCATTTAATAAGAATCACCCGTTTCTTACGGGGCTTAAGAATTCTCTTGGTTCATTTTAAGCCAAATCTTTCACGTTTAGAATTTTCTGGTTTAGTTGGAAATAGTTTTCATGGGTCTGAACATCCACTTCAACTGATTATTCTGAAATGTGCGCATGTGGGAGGAATTGTTAGCCTATGAGACCCTTCTTCAGTAATTCAGATATTTAAATCATCATTTCCAAAGCAAGTCTTCCAAAATCAAATAAATTGCAAAACTAGAAGTCTCCAAAACTGAGTCTCCAAAAAAGAGTTCCCATCCTCTGCCAAAACAGACCTCGAATTCTTAATCCCTTGTCCAAAAAAACTGGACCAAGTATTGACGTTTTCCACCAAGCAAGCCACACAGCCACAAATGTTTCTCATTTACTTCACTCCTGGGACACACAGCTCAAATAAAAAATTTCCTGAATACCCTGAATTTCAGATGCAACTTGGAATGCAAGTGATTCATAATGCTTTGCAGGAAACATTATGATCTTCTCTTACCAATTCAGTGTTTCTGGAACGCAGTCCTCAGGAGATAATCCCAACTAATCAGAAGGATGATATCACTGTCAGCCATGTGACCCAAATATTAAGCTCTCTGCCTCTAGCTCAGATGTGATTTTGAACCCTGAGCAATCCACTTCTCCAGCTACTGTTCAAGTAAGAAAGACGTTACCTCAAGGGAGCTAGCAAAGATCCATACTGTGCTCCATGGCAAGAAACATGGTAGCACCGCACTCAACCCCCCCCTTAGGAAAGGCCAAAACCACGTTAAAAGGAATTAAAGGCACTGTCATCACTTCTGCACCCAAAGACTCTCACAGTGGCCTCTGAACAGTCATAGATTCTAATTAAATTCAAGTGTGAAACTTCACATAGCCTCCAGCTAGTTTATGAGTCCTACTCTAATCCCACTCCCACTTCACCCCCTATTAGCAAGTCAAACAATAACATCTTGGAGTACCAAAGTTGCAACAGTCATCTTTTGTAGATTCCTATTTGCTTTCAAGGAAAGAAACACAGTTGAAATAGAGGAAGAAAAGTACTGCACTGAATACACCGAATTAACATGAAAACTGTGTAAGTCTTAGAAATCCTGGTTACCAAAAAGGAGAGAAGTGTAGGTGGCTACAATATGATGAAATAAACAGGGCATAGAGTAGCAAATCTGGGTAGCGAAAGATGGAGACAAACACTTACTGACAGTAATCCGTTAACTAAAGAATCCAGTATAAGTAAAATGTACAGTTGAAGGGAACTCTTCAACAAGGATAAGCCTGAGAGATTCTGGGGCAAAACTCAAAGCTGAGCATATTACACCTTTAAAGTTTGGGCAAATGGAGAGAGCTACTGATGCTACAGAAATAACAGCCAATAGGAAGAAATGCCCAAAAAGGAATTTGAGAACAGCTTAAAATCATTATTTAAGCATAAGAAGAAAAGAATCTAGTTTAAACAGAATAATATTCTCTAAAACACAATAATGAAGAACCTACAAAACAATGGGTTTGCCTAAATTAGGTTTCATGGTTCTACAGGCAATTTTGATATTGTTAACATTTACAAAGGAACACTTAAACTGAGTCTGTAAATTAAAATTAGGATATAACTGAAGATCCTGTGAGATAAGTATGCCTCAGAAAACCATAAAAATATATAAAATACTTGAAAAAAAATAATGTCTACAAATTAAAAAAAAGAGATCAACTTCAATGTGTGATTGGATCAACACATGTCATGAACAATCTAAAAAGTGGCTTGAATACAGCTGGCTGCCAAAAGATCCTATTTTGCATCCCCCACGTGGCCCTTTGGTAAGTCATCTCATTTATCCATACCAAAAGAAACAGTAATCACACTGGTGATCCACTACTTCTTTTTACTGAAGAAATCTGGTGAGCTAATAACATCAGGAAATGAAATATTCTAAATGACTATGTTTTCTGGTTACTTTAAAACCTAATTCTGTGCATTTTTCCCTCTTGCTCCTGTTGGTTTTAGACTTGGAATTGAGTGAAATCAGCATAAGCTCGCAGAGTTTTGAATAAATGACATAATATATATGAAGCTTCTAGAATAGTGCACGTGGGTAAATACTCAAAGAACTGTTAGTTCCCTTATTCTTTTCCCTTCCCTCTTGCTTCTGCCAACCACAGCTTTGCTTCCTCTTCTGCAGTTGAGGATTCAGGAGCTGAGTTTTCACATGTGATAAGTTAATTCCCCAACAGAATGTAATGCTTCTTTATTCTCTTAATGATCTGTCCAATGAGTTTTAATTACAGAGCCCCTCTAAAAACTCCCTGCCTTGACCTTTTCTCTTCTTCCCTTAATTTCCACTGAGGGATCACCGAAGTTCAACTCACAGTTTGTATTAGAGACTAGTGTTGTGTGTAGCACTATACTAAGATATAGGGATACAGAAATCAGGAAAACATTGATCCCACCTGGCAGAGTTAATTTTATGTGCCAGCCTGACTGGGCCACAGGGCACCCAGACAGTCTTTCAAACACTACTCTGGGTTTTCCTGTGAGGGTGCTTTTGAATGAGATTAACGTTTTAATGCATGAATTTGAGTAAAGGAGATTGCCCTCCACAATGTAGGTGGGTCTCGGCCAATCAGCTGAAGTCCTGACAAGAACAAAAGGGTCTCCTTCCCCCAAGTAAAAGAGAATCCTTTTGCCTGATGGTCTTTAAACTGGAATATCCACGCTTCAGGCCTGACAGCCTTTCAAGTGGGACACTAGCTCTTGCTGATTCTACAGCAGCCTTCCAGTCATCAGACTTGAACTAGACCATCCATCAGCTGTTCCTTGTTCTACAGCAGCCTGTTGCCTCTGGACTCAAAGTGGGACATCGGCTCTGCAGATTTTGGACTTGCCAGCCTCCAATTCCTTACAATAAGCCTCTTTCTCAGTCTCTTTCTTTCTCTCTCTGGATGGATGGATGGGCGGACTGAAAGATAGACAGCTATACATCATAGATACAGATATACAGATATAGATACATAGATCCTATTGGTTCTGTTTCTCTGAAAACCCTGAGTAATACAATACCCTCAAGAAGCTCAGAGTACAGTCATAGGGATATACCCAAATAAACTTTCTCCATGAAGCCTTTCCCAAACAATAACACAGAATATGGTGCTATGAGCCAAATAAACCATCAAACAGAAAAACTATCAATAAACATTCACTGAGTGAATTAAAAGTACTTGAAAGCAGAATCTGCCAAGGACAATATCAGCCCATGTAATTCATTCCCTCAAGGATTCTCATAAAGTGAGTGATCTGGTGTCAATTTACAGCTAGGCTTGCCCTTTCCTGCACATGCTGCCTAGATGAGATTTCTCTGCTTTTATGAGTTAGTTACTGTTATTTGAAGCAGGTCATTGGGAAATAAATTTAAAACAGGGAGTACAGTTATAAATTAGTTCATTCCCCTCGCAGTACAGAGTACAAATAAGAAGCAAATAAGCTCACTTGAATGGCAGCCAAGTTCTTCTGCTCCTGAGATGGTGCCTCATGAACAAAGCGAAGCCAGTTGGAGTGCCGTGGGTTGGTAGCATCCAATATGTACAGAACTTCTCCCTTACTCCCACGAACCTGAAACATAAAAGCTCCTGAATTTATACTTGAAGTTAATATTAACCATACTAAATAGATTATCCATACTAAAAATAACATGATATTTTTTCATAAGTATTACCTTTCTTATTAACAGGTGTTGAATAGATGCTGGATTAACATCCGTTCTTCCCTTTAAACATATGTACAAACAGAGCCTACTTTAATTTGGCAGATGTCTAGATGACTCACAATTGCAATCAACTCTCAGAAACATCCTGTGTTGATAGCTCTTTTCTGGTCAAGATTATTTATTTGTAGGTGTATTTCAATATATGTGTCACAAATGCAATTGTTCAGGGGATAACTATAATTGCAAACCATCCCCTTTCTTTCCACCCAAGATGGCAGGGCTGCTTGGTTCCCCAAGTGGGAGGGGTGGAGCTGGATAAATCCTTTCAATTTCTCTCACCACCTGCCTACGGAATCATTTCCATATGCGGAGAATTTGCTAATCTAACCAGTGGAATCTGACATCCCCTGGGCCACAATTCACATTTTTAACTAGTGGATGAATAAAACAAGTTCAATTTTGTCTTTTCATGGCCTGCTCATGTCTTGCTGAGAACGACGGTGGGCTCTCTGTTTTTTGTTTCTTGCCATAAACCCTCCCGGTCAGATTTACTCAACTCTCAATCAAGGGAGGAGGGTAACTGCCAAAGGAGCAAGTACTCCACTGGGCATTCTTGAATCCAAGTTGCTTCGAATCTAGCTTCTCAAAACCTCTGCATTGTAGGGTACTGGGCACTTGCTCAGTTTAATAAAGCATATACCAATCGCTACCCAATGTTCATTGTGTGTTTATATCCAACTGGAATCGAGGAGAGGAGGGGGGGAAGCAATGAGTGATTAGCACTCCACATCTCTGGTAACACCAAGTAACACAAATATAAACACTATACCTTCACTGACTTGGAGTGGGAAAAAACAAATTCCAGACCTCCAAACTTTTATAAAGTAAAGCACAACTAGCCTAATAAGGTACGTATTTTCATGATACATTTGGACAATCATTCATTCACTGAACAAATACTGATTGAGTCCCTACCATGGTGCCAAGTACTGCTAATGCACTGGGAAGCTTTCAGTGAACAAGACAGATAGATGAAGCCTGACCTCACAGCACTTAAGAGCAAACAAGCACAGAATATAACTTCAGGTAAAGGTAAGTGCTATGAAGACAACTAAAGCATAAGAGGAGGATGCAGAGTGAGGGGAGAAGGGTTCTTCCAGATGAGCTGGTCAGGCAAAGCCTCTCTGATGAGATGACCTGAAAAGAGTCCTAAATGAAGGGAGGGCACAGCCCAGGGGAGAGCTCAGGGAAGTGTGGTTCCAGGCTAGAGGGAACAGCAAGTAAAGGGCAAAAAGAAAGGCCCTGAGTTGGAAACAAATTAAGAACAGCAAGAAGGTCATGAGGCTGGAACAGAAGGAGCACCAAGACAATGGTGGGCGTTGAGATCAGACAGGCTGGCATAGGCCATGGTGGGCGTTGAGATCAGACAGGTTGGCATAGGCCATGGTGGGCGCTGAGATCGGACAGGCTGGCATAGGCCATGGTGGGCATTGAGATCGGACAGGCTGCCATAGGCCACGGTGGGCGTTGAGATTGGACAGGCTGCCATAGGCCACGGTGGGCGTTGAGATCGGACAGGCTGCCATAGGCCACGGTGGGCGTTGAGATCGGACAGGCTGCCATAGGCCACGGTGCATTGAGATCGGACAGGCTGCCATAGGCCACGGTGGGCGTTGAGATTGGACAGGCTGCCATAGGCCACGGTGGGCGTTGAGATCGGACAGGCTGCCATAGGCCACGGTGGGCGTTGAGATCGGACAGGCTGCCATAGGCCAGATCGTGCACTGACCTGGAAACCAAGAAGCCACCCCTACAGGTCAAGTTACCCAAAAGCTGCTGTGTAAGAACATCTGGTGCATGCACTGCAAGGACTGATATTCAAGATTCTAATACATATTGTCTGGGAAAAAATACAGTTAGCCTGCCCCTTGTATCTTATATCTGCCATGTTTCTCAAACAATCCCTGTTTTCTTAAGGGCCCAAGGATCCTCAATAATCATTTAAAAATCTCTCTAATAAATGGCAGACCCTCACTGGAAAGCAGGGATTTAATTTTCAATACTGTAATCGCTAAAAGAACGTAAGACTATAAATACGTCACATTTACATCTCGTATGTTTAGGTGTGAAGCTATGGGAATTTCTCACTAAATAACAATCTCACGCTGAGATCTGCTTTGGGAGGCCCTTGAAAACTGTCCTGCCTTCCTGCTTACCCGTTAACTCAGAACCCCTCACTGCCCACTGGGTGATGCCAAAAATGTCCAGCCGCACTGCTGGGAAAAACAGGACACTCTACAACCCTTCCTCAAAGAGGACACCAGTTCACATGTGTTTAAGCAGAGTAAAAAGGTAATTCTCAATATCTGGGTACAAAGTCTCCTTTCCAGGCTCCTCCACAGCTACAGTAGCAAAACTGTTTATACTGACAACTAAATAAAGCAGAACAGGTAGCATCACCACTAGATACCTGAAGGATAAATTTTCTCAGAACTGAAATCTAAAACCTACAACTGTTGTTGAAATCCACACAGTCCAACTAATTCTATGTAGGGAAACACCAGCGTGCTGGCCCATGGCAGACCGCATTTGAGAGGAGAGAACTACCTACAGAAACTGGTTAATGGCTCTTCTTAGTTATACATTTGTTACCCAGTATTAAGTACAATATATATCAGATGTGTTTGACATTTGAAATTCTTTCTTCAAAGATGTGAAACACAACAAAGATTTCTCTGTGACTTATTATAATAAGCCCATTTTACCAGGGGCATTGTTTGTTCCTTATTTTTTCAGCTTTTTCCCAGGCCCTTTGGCTCCAGCTATGTTGAATGACTCAGCAACTCAATTCCAGTCCATTAGATGTATGCACTTTCTGGTTGTCTATTACCTTCTCACATCATATTCTGGCTTAAGAGACATGCACAATCTAATTTTTTATTAAAATTCTTACAAGATTTGTCACATTCAATAATCTAAATTTATATATTATCGCTTATACTCTCATAACAACACTATAATGATATACTACAGTGGCCTACACATTCATATTTGAGATAACTTGTTTTGTTCATTAACAGAGCCATTGCCCATTTGTTTCACTCTAAACATCCTTACCCAAGTGACTCTTAAGTCCCTGCACAGTCTTTGCAGGCTACCTGTTTTCTCCAGCTTTCAAGTGGCTGGTCCTTTCCTCGTTCCTCCATTCCAGTCCTCAACACTTCACTGCAAGCTGCTGGATTATCTGTTCACATGACTTTTATCTCCCTACCCTAACCCCGGCGTTCTCCTCACTGAAATATCTAAGAGACATCCAAGGATAATCTAATCCATCTTTCCTCTTCCCAGAGAAACCAAATCAAAAAAACTCTAGACAGATGGCTATTATTAAAGTCTCCATTTATCTATTTTAATTTGATACTGAACCCTGAGGGAATAAATTGAACATTTTTTTAAAGACTAATGAATAAAGAAGATCCAAAATTCCTCTTAGTACCATGTTCCAGCATCGAACTGACCTTTGCAGCCAATGTGTATTGTTTTTCCTTTCAAATCTAGTCTTCCAAATGCCATCTTATTCTATTTGAATTTTCATGGAAATGAAGTGTTTTGGTTACTGTCCTACTGAGGGTCATCTTCTGAATACCTGGGGCCTACAAAGAAGTCAAATTCTCATCTTGCAGTAAAAACCATCTCAATCCCAAACTCTGATCTGCACAGTCTTCCTAAGCCAGTTACACAAAAATAAGTTAGCTAAAGTAGGAAAGGGAAAGAAACCCTCATGTGAAAATGAAAACCTTCCCCCTTTAATCCAGTCATTCATATCTCTAGGACTTTGTCACTGTATATTAAATGAAAATTATCACTGCGCAGGAACTTGGCAGGTTCTACTCTCTGTCAAATGCTACCGACATCCTTTTGCAAGGTCCAAGACAATGTGCTACAACGGATCTGTCTTTTTTCCAGATTAAAGATCAGCAGCATTAAATATGTCACAGTTTGTCTTCCCACCCAGCAAAGGACAGAAGAAATCACAGAAAGATTCAGCTCAACAAAAGTAAACCCTAACATGTAAATGAAAGAAATGGAAATATGTAATCAAATAAAATATATAAGAATTTTTCTTTCCTTAAATTTAAATATTTTCCCTGTTAAATTGTGTCAACTATAGACAGAAAAGCTTATTTATTACTTGGATGGTTCATTTTCACAGCAGAAGGGTCGACAATGTTACTCTATTATTTTCCTTCAATTATTTTGAATGCCTGAGGAATCTTTCACTCAACACATACAGGACATCAGGGTTCGCAGAGCAAAGCTAATCAGCCAGATTGGTCCCCAGACATGGCAAAATGTACCCAGTGGAATTTTATTTAACATATGGTAAAATTTAATGGCAGTGAAATATAGTCAGTTCCAAAAATATACAAATAATATCCTTAATTAGAAGTCACAATATGTTATGTTGATTTATTAAAGAAAATATATTTTCCTTTCTGTCTTTCAACAAGACTTTTCAAAGAAGGTAGTTTTAAGAACTAAGATTTAGAGTATGGATGTCTTTAGAGGATAAAATGTCATCATATTTTTGTATTTAAATTACAGGCATTCTTTCGGCAATTGTTTTTAACTTAAGTAAGGCCAGATGCCCTGCCTTCAGTATTTAATTACCCAGGCTTCATGATATCTTTAGGACCACAAAAAACTAAGTGTGCTCAAATAATCAATTCTGACAGCACACTGTTGTCAGATTTAAACTAAAGAGACACTTTCAGAAATCAGCAAAGATCATCCCTAGGAAATGCTAATGATTTACAGTTTCTAAGCAAAGGGATGGTTTTTTCCTGTTGATTTTTTTTTTTTTTTTTTTTTTTTTTTGCGGTACGTGGGCCTCTCACTGTTGTGG